AAATTGTCCTGCATTTTCAAAATATATTTATGGTCACCGTATGTATACCCTGCAAACCAAAGTTCCCGAAATCTTAAGGTNAAAAATAAATAAATAAACATAAGTGGCACACAATATCACTTTGAAATGGCGTGCTATAGATATGACCGATACTGTAGGTACATTTTTTGAAAAATTGTCCTGCATTTTCAAAATATATTTATGGTCACCGTATGTATACCCTGCAAACCAAAGTTCCCGAAATCTTAAGGTAATCGTTAAGAGTATCTCATTTCTGTAACGATTTTTTTACGAATTTTCAAAGAAAATTATATGAAGTGGTTGAAACGAACAGGTAAAGAAATTTTTGTACCAAAAATAAAGAAAATTTTGGAAAAATTCTGAAAGATATTCTTCACATAGCACCATCATTTTTGTTGCTTCACAGATTTTCTTCCGAAATTTCGTAAAAGAATGGAAGTGTGCGACATTGTATGACCTTATCCCTTCCTCATTTTTAAAGGGCATTGCACTTTTTCCGCTTCTTTTCTTCTTGATATATTTGGATTTTTCTTAAAAAGTGGTACAATCTTCTGGGCTTCATTCGAGTTTTTGAAAACTTTTGTTTTTCCAGTTCCTTTTTTCCTATTCATGTTAGACATTCGCCATAGATTTTAATAACTCGCGAAATGGTGTTCCTTGGCAGGTTTGCTTTTTAGAAATGGCTTTGAAAATCCCATTTGGATTTTCATTAAAAAATTATAAAAAAATTAACTTTGCATGACAATTTTTTGGTATATTATCAGAGTTATCTTGATTTCAATAAGAATTAAAATTTTGGTTTTGAAAAGTTTTAGAAGTTAAATACCTTAGAATATATTTCCGCAACACTTACCTGTGGATCTTTGTGCGTTTGGAATTCCTCTTCTTTGTAGCGCAACGCCTTTGCATATGCACGACAAGCCATGGCGCGTGTACCAAGCAATTTGGTTTCAATTGGTATTGGGTCCTTATCACAATGCTCCATGAATTCAGCTAAATTCAAAATAGTTTGTGTAATTTCTGGCATATCGGTTACTTGTAGTGCTTGTATTAGAGATTGTGTAAGCTCGTGTTTGTGTTCGGGAGTAAGCTCTGTCCAACAGGAAATAAAGGCCGCATTGAATAGATCGCGTAGCAATTTGTCATAGTCCTGTGCGAGCACGTGACAGGCACGCAATGCTTGCGAACGCGATTCCTTTAGCAAGCCTATGGAGAGACGCTTCAGCCATTCAACCCAATCGTCTTTGGATACACGACGTGTCACCTGCCAGGCAGCACGCAAATTACTTGTAGAAACAATGAGACGCTTCATGGTGAAATTACCGCCACTATTAGGCGCTACTAATTCGGTGGATTTAAATTTAGCCTGCCGCATATGGAACTCGTCGTCCAGGCACATTGTGGTATTACTTTGGATTTTAGTTAATAGTTTCTCGTATTTTGGGTCGACAATGCGATGCTTCGCGATGGTGCGTTCGACAAGTGGCACAAAAACGAGATATTTCTTGCCTAACTGTATAACCACCGAGCAGAGTGTGGACATGGCCTGGTCACGCAACTCAGGCTCGGCTTCTAGCACACGCACCAATGGATGTATGATGCGCGAAGAGAAGTCAGTAAAGTCAAGTATCCAGGCGAGATGGTCGATGGTTTCCAACGCTACTAGCGACACTTGTTGCGGCACATATGGCGCATCGAACAACTTAACAATTGGCGGCACAATCAAGTGCAGATAGTCATCCAAGGTATTGCCGAATTTTTGCAATGCCTGCAGCAGACGCCTGGTTACCATACGATCCTTAGAAGTATCATGCTGAAGTACGCGTAAAATTTGTGGTATCAACTGCGACAAATAATTGCGGAATTCACAGCCCAAAGCCAATGCGATCTGCTCAATCAAATTGATCAACGTCAACTGCAGTGGCGTATAAACAGTCCAAAACTCTTTGATGAGCTTAAAGATATCAGCCATGTAGCTTATGATGTGCTGTTTAACGATCTGTACCAATATGGCTAACTGCTGGAAGAGAAATTCGCGCAAATTTATATCAGCCGTGCGCACATTCTCCAGCAAACTTGGCAACACTTGTGCCAAATATGGCACACACTTAATGCCCAGACTTTTGAATATGAAAGTTATGGCTTGTACGACGCTAGTATGGCGACTGCTCAGTGTGGGGTCACGCAAAATACGCATCAGTGCTGCAATCGCCACGGCTGGATAGTATTCATCAAGTACATTGCTCATATTCACAAGTAGTTCTGCTGTTGAAATATCCTGATTTTCATCCATTTTGAAATCGCTCAACGATATAAGTACGCTGTCTTTCTGACTATCTATTAAGCCCTTATTCATTTTGTGTTTATAAGGATCCATGGCGCCCAGTAGACCGAGCACTCGTATTGTCTCACGACGTATGGAGCGACGTTGTTCAGTTTTCAAGAAATTAATAAGTATATCAATAAGCACAGGATACTTGTGGTAGGGGGTCACCACACGACCAGTAGCGCTAATCAACTGACCCAGTGTCCACAGGGCAACGCCACGTTTCTCTGGGCTACCAGCATCACCAAGCATTTCAAGCAAAATTGATAGCAAATCGTCAGCCCACAATTCCATTTCATTCGAGCCGCCATTCACCTCAGCCAAATCGCCGATCGCGCGCAAAACATTCAATATAACGCCAGGGTTAGGGTCGGCTTCGCGTAATTTGGGCACAAGGATGGTAAGTATAGGGTGCATGTAAGATGAAATCAATCTGCAAAGAGAAATTTAAGAATTAGCTAATACAAATAAATTTAAGGCATGGACGAAAAGGCATAATTGGAAAATTTATGCAATTCACCGGAAAAGTTGTGGCTGCGGGAAAATATTAATAAATTTAAAATTGGAAAACTAACCTTGGTGTGCTGATAATCAAGTGGTCCAGCATCCTAGCGCTCTGCTCCTTGTTGCGACTCATACCCGAATGTTCCAATTCAGTCAGTAGTTGTATCATTATTTTACGCAGTTTTGGCATTACATACGCCGGGTTCATAGCGGACAAGCGTCCCACTGTAACCATTGCTAGCTCGCGTATTTCAAAAATTTCATCATTTAATGTAATAAAGAGTGCACTAAGCGATTCAGGCTGTGCCAGCTCAGCATCGAAGGTTTCATCCAGTGAACGTAATATGCGTATGCGCACATTACAATCCATATCTGTAATGGCGACAATCAGCAGTCGCTCAATGACATGTGACACTGTTTCGCTAAGTGTATTTGAGCTTTCTGAACTATCAGCCGACTGCACGGCGAGTTTTAGTAAACGTGTGCACGTTTGCACCGCTTCCAAGCGTATCTCCTGCTGCTCATGATTAATGAAATGATCGGCGCAACGTTGCACGAAATCGAGCATATTTTGCTCTTCGAAATTGAAACTACCAAGTGTTTTTAGCGCCAGTACAACGGTGGGTACATCATGTTGTAGATTTAACGATGTATCCAAAGGTATGGTGGCCAATGTTTGATAGGGTATGGCTAATGGTTTATTCATTAGAACCTGCGATAGCACGCGTATGAGACCCTCGGCAATGGCAGTCTTCAGATGTGGCACATTTTCGGCAAGTTCCCGCAAACAAACGGTCAGTGCTGGCGAAAGACCACTAAAGAACATTTGTTCTAGAATATTACGTACATCTTCGGTGATACCCGATTTTACAGCGTGTGCCAGTAGCGTAATGCAATGAAAAATAGCTGGGTCTATAGACGATTTACGTTTGCTGGGTGTGATTTTTGGCGGTAATGCTATTTTGATGGCGCACATAATTGTCCTTAAATGCTTGTCAATATCACGTTCCACAGCTACTGCTATATAACCGATTGTTACGTATGCAATATTTCGATCCTTCTCCTTTCGCGGCACAATGCTGAGCAAGTGATTCACACATTCTTGCAAATAACGTTGCACGAATACTTCACGATTGAAGGCAGCAAGGCGTGGAAGTATTTGGAGCAGTGCTTGCTGAACGTAAGGCGATTTTGAGATGCGCTGTTCCAGCACATTATCGCAAATATTTGTGTAGTTTTCTGTGAGTATCTCACGGGAATATGCCGACTCCAGCACGGTGGCCTTCAGGGGAAAAAATCATAATTATTACGGTTATTAACATTCATATTAAATTTTGATAAGTAATTACCGATGAAAACTTATGTGCACCACCATGTTGTCCTTCATGTTCCAAATGCATATGCGTCGAACCTAGCTTACTTATAAATGGTGCTTTCAAGCGAGGCACTAAGGTGGTTAGTTGACTACCAACGGAGCTGGAGTGCATGACTTCACCAAATTTGTTATGTTGTGCGTCGGGTAGAAGTGCTTTCAAAGCAGCATAACGACGTTCCCAAGCGGCATGTGAACAACGGAAAAGTTCATTTAGGATTAGAAGACCGCCATGAATACGATCATCGCGTGTCATTCCCTTCTGATCTTTTGTACCAACTGGTTCCGCTACAAAGCTTGCGTTTGCTTCTTGATAACAAGTTTTATACCATTGTGGTTCGCTTGACTGTTTAGTGCTTTCACGTTGAGAGGTAACAATAAGAGCGGCACGTAACGCTTCACCAGCCGATTCGCGTATGGCTGCTTTGGGGTCGAATATTGCATTGAAAATGTTATCGAAAAATGTAGATATTTGTTGATAAAAGTATGTGGGCATGGCAATAGCCAGCTCGCGCAGAATAAAGACAGCTGCGTGGCGGCGGTACTGTGACGAAAAAACGTTAAGTTATAGTGATTTCAAACAATTTGCAATACAAACAAAAAAATACACTGTTTAAAACAATAATATATTTATTTACCTCTTGCCGATCACCACTCAACATTTCGAATGCGCGCTTGATATCAAAATCGATTGATTCGGCACCCTTTGACCCGGGCAAGTTAGCCAATTTCACCAGCGTACGTGCTGCAATCTCCATTACTGTGGTATCATTGGAAGGCAGCAATGTACGTAAGTGATTGTAGTACGGTGAAATACGTTTCATTGTATTCACAACATCGCCACTTATTAAACATTCTGCAAGAGTAAACAAGCATTAACAAAAGAATTAACCCTAACGATTTATAACTACGCACTTATGGCCAAAACTGCGCCTTTCTTGTCATTGATGTCCGCAGAATTTACCATACTGAATATTTGATGATTGAAATCATCGAAGAATGCGACTAGGTCCTCCTGTGACATTTCACGCAGCTCCGTCTTTACATATAGAAACAAATCCTGTGCAGCTTTGCTCTGCACATTGCGATTACGCGACTTGAGGCCAGAAACGAATTGCTGCACCAGCGCTCCAGTCGACATATTTATAGATTTTATTTTATAATACACAGATAAAATAGTACAAATCCGTTCTAATTAAGCAAACATTAGCTTTTCCGATTGTGGTTTCGCTATTTTCCAACTAGCGGTGCATCGTAAACGCGATTGGGTGTCTCAGGGAGTCTCACACAACCACTTTGAGGTTAAGTAGAGAAGAGAATATGAAAATAGTCGGCTGAACAATTTATATCATTTTTTATGGAATAAAAGTTGTGGAATTTGTAGTAGCGGGTATTAAACAATTATTTGATATAAAAAAATTACTTCACTAAGTATTAACTTTTTTCCACAATTTTTTCACAGTAGCACTCAATTTACACAGTTTTTTTCCGTCTGGCTCACTTGTCAAATGAAATGTCTACAGAATTCGCCGTACTAGAGCGTAAAAACAAAAGTTACGGCGAATTGGCGCGTAAATTAGGCGAATTAAATGTAAACAAACCGTTTTTTTTTTGTTGCGAATTCGTAGAGAATGGCGGAAACGGTGAAAAACAATGCAGAATGTTGAGAGAAAGGTAAAGAATTTGGATAAAAGTGGGTGAGAAAAGATTAAACAGCTATGTTCAAAAAATTGCCAGCGTGTGAACAAAACTGTGAAAAACTATGAGGCAACGAACAAAATTTTTAATTATTTCAATAAATTTAATGAAAAAAATTATGTTTGAGTTTAATATAAGTACACACATATGTAAAGTAAAGAAAGGAGCAGGCGCAAAAAAAAGAAATAGGAATAGATAGAACAGCTAATTATAACGGTAAACTTTTTTTTTTGGGGGCGAAACGATTAATACAAGTACTTTTTATCTACTAAAGGAAGAAGGTCAAATGGATATGTTATATGTATGTAAATATATGTATAAATACATATCTTGTAAGGTTTTTGCAAAAATCGGATTTGTTTAAAGAAATAAAAATTAAAAAAAACAATTTTTAAATCTATCCTTTCGTTAAATGTTTTAATAAAAAACCTGCTTACCAAATTTCAAGAATAATAAGTAACACTTGTTGGCGAGTGGTTCCAAAATTACGAAGTCCTCATTTGTACACATAATAAGCAAAAATATTTTCTGCTGGGTTATCCAGGAAGCAGTTACAAATTTTCTGCTGGGTTAACGCAGCTTTTACCCATACCTAGGGCTTAGATGTTTACACATGAAAAAAGTAATAGGCCATTTCGTGGTGGCGGCGATCTTAAATTCAGTATCATTCTAAATCCAATATAGCCGCCGCCACAAAACCCCCTCAGTATGGGTATCAAATGAAAAGGATTGACTAATAGAATACATTGTCTCATGAACAAATTCTGAATCCAAGATGGCCGCCATCACCAAATGGCGGACTACTTTTTTGATATGTAAGCATCTTAGCTCTCGGTTTGGGTAAAATTTGTGTTAACACAACAGAAAATTTGTAATTGCTTCCTTGTTGTACAAATGATAATTATTGGACTAGTTCAGGATAATTTCAGGACTATATTGGGCTGGTACGGTTTAATTTCGGGATAATTTCACGATTAGTTCGGGATCATTTCGGGCCAGTTCACGACTGTGTAAGGGCCATTTTCGGATTGGTTCTGCTCCATTTCGAACCTAGTTCAGGAGACATTTTGGTACTACTTCTGGATCATTTTGGTAGTAGTGAAGGAACATTTCATGATTAATTAGGGACCATTTCGCGACCGTTTCAAGACAATTTCGGGAGAAGCGCACGACTTTTTCGACAGTTTCGGGGCCTGTTCGGGACTAGTTAGGGATCCTTTCGGCACCGTTTGGGGATCTGTAGCCCGTTTCTGTAACTTTTCTCAACCGATTATTTCTCTACTGGTAGAGAAAATACGTCACTCTCACCTACTAATTAGCAGTAGAGGACAGGGCGGTGAATTCATATCTCAATTCGCCTTGGTAGAGAATTGTTACAGAAACGAGCTACTGTTCCGGATTATTTCAGGACCATTTCGGGATAAGTTTACGACTGCTAGAGAAACACTTCAGGAGCAGTGATGCCAGACATTCTCTGTTAAAAATCCCACGAAAATGGGGAAAAAATCCCTCAATTACCCACATCTTGAAAATGTATCCCACAAAATTCCCAACGAATTTAAACATATACATGTTTCAGTAGTAAAGAAGTAAAATTCATATAAAATAATAATAATAGTTTGGCGCTTACACATATGTGCTTTTCCTCCAATTTGTGGCGGTCCCCTTGATGTGGTCACACAAAGGGGAGGGACCTACAGTTTTACGCCGACTCCGAATGGCGAGTGTATTTTTATGAGAAGCTGTTTTTCATGGCAGGAATACACTCGGAGGTTTGCCATTGCCTGCCGAGGGCCGACCGCTGTTAAGAAAAAACCCCTTTTTCTGCATTTTTTTCACTCATTCATTTTTTCACTTTCATTTTTTTGCTCACTCACTAAGGGCCTAAAAGAATTTTTTGGTGACTTTAAAATTGAAGCACATTCATGTGCTATTTAACATTTCATCAGATAATTTGTTCCGCTTTTTACATGAAATACCAGTTACAACTGAAAAGATTCTTTCTTACTCAGCGCTTGAATTGGTTAACGTAAGAAAATTTTCGAAATTATCCTTATACTTTTTAACAATTATATACCATTTCACTCCACATCACATCTTCAGAACGATTAATTAAGTGGAATGTCGAATATTCGTGAATTTTGATCAATTATGCAACAATAACTGCGTCAAAAGAAAATCCCTTATTTATATGAAATGTCCCTTTTTTCCCTTTTAATAATTTTTGATGCAAAATATCCCTCAAGTAGGGAAATTTCCCACAATCTGGCACCACTGTTCAGGAGCTCGTTTCTGTAGCTCTTCTCCACCGATTATTTCTCTACTGGTAGAGAATATACGTCATTCTCTACTACTCATTAGCAGTAGAGAACTCATGAACCAAAAAGACAAGATCACGCGGGCAGGAGACTAGCCCGTTAGAATCGCATTAAGGAAAAAAGTTGAACGATTTTGACATTAGCCGTTTATTTACATTTCTTCGTTGTTTACAATTTGGTGGTGGCTTTTTACTGCAATTTTCTTCATTTTCGCTTGTGACAACGTGTGTACACATAAGATAAAGAATAATTTAACACAACGGCATGATTTTTAGAAGAATTTGCATAATAAAAATGATTTTTCATGCGTTCAACAATTTCGCGGTTTTCTCCGTTCTCTTCGTTGTTTACTTCTTACAGCAAAGATGGCGTCGAGATTTCGGCAGCTAGAAAATAACTTTTTTCGTTCTTTCCGTCCCGCGTGATCTTGTGTCTTTCGTTCATGTAGAGAACAAGGCGGCGAATTCATATCTCAATTCGCCTTGGTAGAGAATTGTCACAGAAACGAGCTACTGTTCTACTTCATGACAATTTTGGGACTTGTTTGAGATCGTTTTGGAGTAGTTTGAAACTAAGTTATCACGAAATGATTCTGAAAAAGTCTTGACCTACTCCCGAAGTGTTTATCAAAAAGTCGTGTACTGGACCCGCCAAAATGAATAAAATGAAGAGAAATGGATGCTTAATTTCTAACCTAACCTAATGCTTTGCCAGGCAATAGACAAATGTTGACACATAAAATTTCATGAATGCCTAATACTCAAGCCTTTTTTATGTCGCCCCCAATATGGGTATCAAATGAAAGGGTTTGATAAGTAGATTTGAACTGAAGAATAATAGGTCATTAGCTGCACACCATCCAAATTAAGGTAAACGGTTACAGCGAGCCGAGGACATAGTGACATTAAGGTGGATACAAATTTTATGTCGCTATATTTTTCCAATCAAATGGAAGAAATTTAATGAGAAATATTAAGCAACTAAATTAAAAATTTAAAACTTTAAAATAAAGTATTTAAAAATGTGTTTCAAGTTAAACGCACCCACGATTTTATTGCTACGATCACGTGATCGATGGAATGACTGGTAGCTGGTACCTACCTTAATATTTCTAAGCTTTTAACACATTATCTGCATCATTATTATGTTTCTTTACAATAAAACCGTTTAGCTTAAAAAATCTGTTTGCTTATTTTATTTATAATCCCAACTAAGTCATTCGGTAATCTTTTTACAATCCAAATTCTATTCAATCTTTATTTCAGATCAGATTACCTTGAAGTATAATTTATGATATTTTTTCATTATCGCAAAAACTTAAAATTAAAATACTGTACAAGAGCGCGCATCCCCAAAGAGAGCACACAAATTTGAAAAGCAGAGCGAGTGCTGAGAATGCGCAAGTTGAATGCCATCGGCTATGAAAAGCAACACATCTATTCGTACTATACATAGGCATGTGGATACCAATGTGCATGGCCATTGGACTAGAAAATATTTGCCAACATTTCAAAGATTCATTTGTAGGTAAACATTCCAAGCTAAGGGTAGCTTCGCAACAAAACGGGAAGTCAGCTGTGCTGAACAATAGAAAATAGTGTTAGTTGAAATATTATTTATTAAAAACATTTGGTGACTTAACTAATGAAGAGATTGTAATAATGCAATCATCGATTGTGTAATAAAGAGTCATATGTACGTATGTATGTATGTACATATTAGTTATTTGTGTTTATAGGAAAATGAAACTCGCACTAAGGTTAAAATCGCATGGTGATCTGAAAAGTGGCAGACTAATAGACGATATGCAGAGTGTATAATATACATATATTTTATAATTTGTTGTAGTTGCTAAGCGTGAAAACGTATGTATGTATGTACATATACATTCGTCTTTGTGTGAACTGAAAGCCTTTTAGTGCATGCTAATTTAATTTGCTATCGCCGGTTTAGTTATTGTTTAAATTAAATAAACTTTAAAGTGTTATGTTTATTTAAAAGAAAAACTTCCTACAACTGCATTAAATCTTTCCGTACTATTTGATAAAATGAAATAAGGCGAAATTGTTGCTAACCCCTCACTACTATAATAAGGGTGTGTGTATCTAAATATACATGTATGTAGATATGTATGTTTTATTTGAATATCGGCACGATATCCACATACATATGTACATTAGACCGGAACTTGAAAAAAAAAGATCGCTGTTCGGCCCTGAGTCCAGACTCTAAAGTATAGGAGTTGCTTTTAATTTTGTTTTTGATATTTACATACATATATTCGGCATTTATAGTCGGATCTTAGGGCATGATAGGTAAATCCGTGCGCTTGTCTCAAGGGGACACATTTTTTTGTTGTTACGTTCAAGTACCCCGTTTTAGTACTGACCCACCAGATCTCAGCTCTTAATATCCTAACGTACCACCCTTATGTCAGTAAATTAAAGCTCGCCGAAAATCATGCCACTTTTTCTAAGGAATTGTGTATTTCGATTCAAAGGCCATTTCGATTTTTTTGCAGAATGTTTGAGGTCTGCACCATGATACATCATCGATGTTTTTGTCTCGAGGGTAAGATATTTTATTCCAGTTCTTATCGCCCTAACGTACCATCCTAATACCGGTAAATTTAAGCTCTCCAAAAAACATTAAACTTTTGCTAAAAAAAGGTGTTTTTATTATTCCCGCAGAGTGTGATTCGGTCTAATGTACATATGTATGTACTATGTAGATNATTTAAGCTCTCCAAAAAACATTAAACTTTTGCTAAAAAAAGGTGTTTTTTATTATTCCCGCAGAGTGTGATTCGGTCTAATGTACATATGTATGTACTATGTAGATATACATAAATCTATAACTACCAAACCCGATAACAGTCATTAGCTGACTTAAGCTCTATATGTATCTACAAATGTTGAGAGGTAAATATAGCACAAAACGAAACCAATTGGACATATCGTCGTTTAAAGTATAAAACCGCGTATCATTATGAATTATGTAAATTATTTTCTAGTGAGTAAAAACATTCATATTTATTGGCTGGTTTATTTCAGGACGAATGGATAAGGCTTGGGCCAAGATCTTGTGTGAGCAAATCCAATCTTTGGCAGCAAATGTCAGTTAAGCGGTTTTGCAGAATGACAATACGCGGTTTTGTACTTTAAACGACGATACATACATACATAGTTTTCGCACTTTGATTTTAGAAATGCGCTTTTGCTGAGCATACAATATTTCTGTTTATTAATTTTTTAATTAAAGTACACATTCATATACATACGTATGTGCATATGTACTACATTAGAGTGGTCCAAAAAAGTTAAGTCGGAATTTTAATGCCGCCACCCCCTAGGGTTGTTCTATACCGAAAAAATATACTCCCATTTTTTTATTTTGAAATCAAAAAATATCTGGGGAGTGCTCAAAGCGCTCAAAATTTTCCATGTATTTTTTAAATGGCATAAAATCCTAGAAAATCAATATTTTTCGATCGGAAAACTGTGGTTCTCTTCAGGAGACTTCCAGTATTAATATCCAATTGTTTATTTAACCATTTTCTAATATTAAAAATTTTTTATTGGTCCCCCATTGCCCCCCATTTTCTGGGGATGTTGGCGGACCTATAAAATATAATTATCATGAAAAAATGGTTAAATAAACAATTGGGTATTATTATTGGGAATCTTCTGAATATGAACCGAGTTTTCCGATCTAAAAATATAGATTTTCAAGCATTCTACACTATTTCTACGAAAAGTGGGTTTTCCCCATAATATAAAATACGCCTGATCACTCCATATTTTTTTTATTTCAAAATAAATAAGTAGGGGTATATATTTTTTTGGTAACAATCCTAGGGGGTGGCGGCATTAAAGTTCCGACTTTACTTTTTCACATGCAATTTTGAACCACTCTAATGTACATATGCATGCATGTAAATATTTATGTATGTAAATCGTTCCTGCGCACAGTGTAACAAGAGCAGAAAATTTTTACAACGATTGTCGCCGAGGAATAATAACCGATCGCCCAAAAATTTTCGGGAATTAAATTATACTGACCATTCGTGAAATGAGCCCAGTCTTATCCAATTTCACGAGAGCCGTTTTTCATCACTATCGTTGGTTATGCCGTATTTCCACTGGGCATTAAAGGACAAAAAACTTGAATGATTAAAAAAAAAACCGTTAGTAAAAAAATCATTTTTTTAATGACACACCCTTTTTTGTTATTACAACATCCAGTGATTGGCTGTATGCACATAAATAATTAAAAAATTTTTATAGCAAAAGTTACACTGTGAGTCTTTACTAACGGCGAATTAATTACAAACGCTTATGTACATACATATGTACGCAAAAACATACACATACTATAGAAATGTATGTTTGTATGTAAATGAACATACCCTGCAAACCAAAGTTCCCGAAATCTTAACGAAAATTTTAAGAGTTTCTGTAATGATTTTTTGTTACGAATCTTCAAGGAAAATTGTACGAAGGGGTTGACACGAACTCGTTAAGAAATTTCTGTACGAAAAATAAATAAAAAAAATTCTGAAAAAATTCTGCAAGAAGTTCTTCACATTGCAGCATTATTTTCATTGCTTTAACAATTTTCTTCCAAAATTTCATAAAAGCATCGAAATATGCACAGTTCATTTGATTTTAGAGAGTTCGGCAAAAAATCGGATGAGTTTTTACGAATATTTTTTTAAAATTTCTTTACATTTCAGAATACTCTGAAAAAAAAAATGGTTTGCAGGGTACTTATGTGCAATAGAGTCGTCCATAAATACACAGAAAAGTTCACTTTTTGAAATTTTCCCTGTGCCACCCCCCGAACTGAAAAACATCGAAAATCGGGGGCCCATATTTTTTATTTTGAAGTCTCATCATCGAATAAGAATATTTTCCTTGGGAAATCTTCAAAAAATAGAATCATGCTACATATGTTGTACATATTTAACTTTAAAATTTTACTAACATTTTAATTATTTTATGATTTAATTAATAATTTATTTATACAATTCTGTATTTTTTACTTTTATGCGCATTTTTTAACACATTTCTGAAAGATCTTTTTACTAACCACTCCTAGTAAAACTTTAGCAAAAATTTATAAATAAAATCCGTTAAATGCTTGAGCATAGTGAACGCCGTACAAAATGGCTAGGCAACAGCCTTTTTGTGTGTTTAATTGCACTGCTTATTTTGGGTAAAGTATGCAAAACAAAATACATTTTAAATTCACGCTTTTTATCATTCATTAAGCAAACACTTGTGCTCATTTATAAAAATACCAATATGAAAAAAAAAATCAAAAAGAAAATGAAAAAAATTCACGACAATAAATTGTAATTTTCGGATTTATTTACATATACCAAGAAAGAATTATTTTGTAAATTATTTTTGAAAAATTTTTGTGTTTGTGCAAACTTCACCTTTCTGTTTACCATTCTTGTGCTTGCTGCAGACGTTATTTATGGAGGGGGAGGGGCGGGGGGTATATAATATAATTAACAAGTATATGTATATGTACGTAGTTGTATGCACGAATTCTTAAACCAGAAGGCTCAGTGTTTTCTCATCGTCAACAATTTTTTTATATTTTTATTTCCAGCTTTTTCGCTTCATTACTCATATTTCCACTCGAATAACCCTGCACATTAGGCCGTACCAGCAAAAAATTTCGCCGTACACCCCTAAGAAGAATTAGAAAAAAAATATACTAAGCATGAATTCAGGTTGACAAGGGGTTTTGAGGTCGCTAAATTCGAATCTGTAGTAAAATAACACAAAACAAAATCCAATATGGCAGCTAAAATTAAAAGAAATGTGTTTAATTTGTAAAATATTTATTAAATTCACGTAGTATTGAGTACTACATATTAGGTCTTTTAAGTATGTATTTATAATTCTTAAATAAAAAAAACTTTTTGAATTATAATCATTTTTACATATGTATATCTTACACGAAATTAGTTTGAAAAAATGTATTAAAAAATCAACTTCAGAAAAATGTTCAATATTTTTGGTTACAAAATCGCGTCTTAAACAAAAAAAAGACAAACAGACTTCTAAATTTGAACGTAAACTCGGCACAAGTAGATGGGGTGAATGGCGCAAATAAACAGGTGAAGTAATAAAACAGCTTGCTCGCGTTCGTTTCTGACATTCGGCTGCCTTATAGTCACATTTTATAAACATATTTTCAAAATCTTTCATCTCACTCTAATATTACTTCGCCCACCATGGGTGGGGTGGATGCAATAACACCTTACGCATTCCATTACTTGGAAATTTTTTCGTTAACATTTCGAGCACATCTGCATGCTAAATGGAAAATAAAAGCGCTTGTTATATTATTAAGAATCAACGCGAGCTCTTAGCCAGCCACTGGCTGTTTTTTTCTGCACTTTGCACTAAAAAAAAAAATAATACAAAGAGACCAAAATTCGAAAATTGGGCTCAACTGGTCTTTTGAAAATTTTATTAGCTTTCATTTAAAAACAAATTAATCTAATTGAGTGAAAACTGAAGGCTCCAGTGAATTGTGAACACAGCAGGTGTATACATATCGCCACTCCGTAGGACCTGGGCTCACATCAGGCGATAGGACACCTCCGTGTGTATTGCTGCCTTGAAAAAATTTCTCATAAAACCATTTGCCGTTCGGAGGCGGCGTATAATTGTAGGTCCTCCATTTGTGCTATAATATCAGTTGGAGGAGAAGCTCGGTCAAACACTTAGCAAAGTGTAAGCGCAAAAAATATATATTTTTTTATGATAGATTCCTGCATATCTTGCTATATTGTTAATAATAATTTATTTTAAGCATTATACACGTACTCATTGTACAACTAGTACATCATGATTGCATAAAAGCATTTGGCATCGTAATCATACTATCTGTTAAAAAAATTAAAATTAAAATAAAATCATCTCGCTTATATGTATACTCACTTTGTTTTTACAGCAACTAACAACTGCAATGTTAATGTGAATGCTTTTCCTGCGACGCAGGCGCAGAGCGACAATTACACCGACATCTCCCATTACTACGGCGAGCAACCGATTTCGGCAAGTCATCATATGCCCATCGTCACTATGTCTGTGGAAGACAGAGTAAATCTAACCGCTATCACGTGGGCGCATGCGGTAAACAGCCAGAAGGAACTTTACGAGGCGCTCGAGAGTAAGTGCTATATACATACATATGTACATACATACCAGGGTTGTTGCGAATATTCGCATTCGCATTCGCAATCGCGGAGCTTCCGCATTAATTTTAACAATCGCATTCGCAACAATGCAGAGTTTTCTGGCAAACAAAATCACAGAGTGTAGCCAATATTCACCTTTGATAAAAGTGCTTGTAAACATATTATTTCTTAAGCTATATAACCAAGACTGCCCATTGAAGTCATACAAGTTCCCACTTCTGTCAAGAGAACATTTTCTTTTTAAGAATACGTTTTATTATTTTCAGTGCTTTAAATACCTGCACTAGTTTCTTTCTTTATTATGATTTTTGTGGACCAATCTTAAAAAAGCTACTAGATATAAAAGAAGAAAGCGTGCATTGTAATTTTAAACCGAATTTTCCTGATTAGCTTTTGATGTTACAAAATTTGAGTTGAAAAAATCTTTTATTTTTTCAAGTTCGCTGCACTGAAAGTACAATTTGTGTGTGAAAATAGGACAACACTGTTAGGTATTTTTGATATTGTTTAAGTGATTATATTTAAAAATACTAATTTAGTATTTTTGAGATTATAACTTATCAAGTCAAAAAGTTTGTTGATGATGGCTTTCTTTAAAAGTTGAAAAGCTTTACTCAAGGCAAGTACCCTTTTTTCATCTTAAATTGTAATAAAAGTATAGTAAATAACATAAATTTGAATATTACAATTTACTGCTAATCGTTCCAAAATCGGTACTTTTACATCAAATTATTTTTCTTATCGCAAAAAGGGCGGTAAATTCTGGATTTCCTAGGGGTGACAAATATTCAAATCCGCCACTGCAAATGGGGCTCTATGGGAAATTTATTTTTAGCAAACATTTCAAAAACAGTAATTTTGTTTACTTGTCGGACAATATTTGTTCATATGGATGTAATTGAATCATTGGCTAAAAACTTCTGTGGTAAAACTCTCCCCCGACGTCTTTGTTCTTTGCTGTTTAAAGTCAAAGAGTAAGCTCCTTCAATAGGAAATCGATGCTTAAATAATCAAAAAGTTATAAGTCTTTAATTAGATCCGTGATTCTAATAATTCACAACAACCATATTCTGATTCAATTCGGCTGACAGCCACGACTTTGAAAACAGATTTTTGTCCAAAATTTTCATTCCTGGAAAATAATAATTTATTTTCCATATCCACCAATATATTGAGTTCTCAATAAGCACAAACAAACGAGTCACAGAAGAAAGTATTAAAAATTAATTACAAAAACTAAAATTAAAAAACGCTGATGACGTTACAGGTTCCCCAAATTCTGAAACAGCGAAAGGCATGAGAATGAAGAATTCTTTTTAAAAAGCTTTAGAAAAAACTGACACATCTGGTTTGGCTTTTAAGCGGTGTTTAAACCACGATCTCGCCATTGTGCTAGATTCTTCAAGTGGAGATGAAAGTTAGGAGGATACATCCAATATTCTCCGCCCCAATGCAATTATAACTATTTTTATTAAATATAATGTTCTAATTTTTAAATGCAAGTAATAAGTAAAATAAGCATTATTAAAAGTTACTAACTTCAATTTTTTATTTACCTAAATACATTAAATAAATTTTTTCTTAAAAATACTTGACATTCGCATTCGCACTCGCATACGCGGATGTCTAAAATTTCACTTCCGCACCATCCCTAGTACATACATATATAGCTGCCGGGGCAGCATGTCGTATACGCAACTGAATTTTCATTGGTTGCGGTTAAGTAAGTTAAATGCTTTCATGCATACATGTAAATAAATTTTGTATACAATTTTAATTTATTAATTAATGGTTTATGCATCTATGCTTATTTTAATTAAGAAATAATTTTTCAGGCGATATCAATATGATTGAGGCCGATATTGTGCTTGGCAGACTGAACAATACTGGCGATGAATTGCCGGTGATGGCTCATCCACCAGCGAACTCCTCGGACTTGTCATTATTGGAATTTCTGTTGCGCATCTTGGAGCATAATGAAGAGCACGTCGACGATGCGAAGGGCGTGAAATTGGATTTTAAGTCAATTGAAGTATTCGAAGGCTCGTTGGATATTTTAAGTCAATTGATACCATTGGTAAATGTGGAGACGAAGTAAGGTGTTACTATTGGAGTTGTAGGGCTCTTGGAAGCAATTATTTATGTGAATAAAATACATACTCAATTATTTTGAAATATTTTTTTACTATTTTTACCAATTTACATTAGACCGTACCACCTTACAAGCCAATAAAAAAGTTCGAAGTATACCCCTGACTAATGCTGAATGAACTTTAGAACAAAATAAAAAAAAATAACTCCACGAAAAAAGAACATCGATATATTATTCCTTAAGATCGGACTATAAATGACGAAAAATATAAAAAGGCGTTCAGAAAAAAAACTTTCGAAATTGCCTTGCAAAAATGCTTTAAGTCTCAGGCGTGGACAGCGAACTTTTTTTTTTTTTGGTACGGTCTAACGTACATACATATAAAATTTGTATATTAATTAAATTGTAAAATTGTTCGACAAAAAAAAATGTTTTATTTCGTAAATCTTTTACATAGATGCCCCATCCTGTTTGGCTAAATGCTGACATCATTAGCGGACCCGTTAATCAATCTAATACGGTGCCAGTTGATCCAGAGCGTTTCTTCGCCGGCGCCGCAAAATTCGAAACAGCCGTACTCTCGATCGGCTGGACAACACTTTGGGGCGCCAATTACACAGAGGGCTACTATACAGAGCATGAGATCGATGAGATGTTGGTGGCCATCAAAGTAAGTAACATACGTACATATGCATTTACATTAGGGTGCATCAAAATTAATATTAAAAAATGGTACTGTTTTTCCAAGGGAATAATACAATTAATTACATTTCTAGACTTCTGTCAATGTATTTCGGAAAAATATTAAGATTTACGTGAGTTGGACCTATTTGAAAATTTGGTGGTTTTTTACAAAATAAAATTAACAACTTTTTCTGTGATACACCCTAATACGCATACATATCTAATAGCCTCTGCCTTCACCCATAATATATCGACTAAATTATCGATAAGTCTGCATCGTTTTTGATGCTACAGAGTTTACTACTTATAGGCCCACCAGAATGGGTACTTGTACGTCAACAACGGAAAAGTAGTCGAAGGTAGTGGCGTACGTACCGTAGAGATAGGCCACAATGAAGGTGTTGCGTCTGCAAACAAAAATCAGCTGTTCCTTATGGCCGGGTACTTGGCGTTTACACAAGTCAATTTTTCAGATACAATGACAAAATATTCAAATTTTTTTACTAATATATTCCCACTTCTCTTGATGTCTTCATCACTGTCTCTGGCTTTTCGAAGACAGTTTATTGTCTGGATGCCTACTTTACTCAAACAATGTGTAAATTATGTGCATATTCTCATTGGTCTTGCCTTGTGTAAACGCGGGGTTATACAACTGTCAGCAGTGACGGACTTACGTGCGTCAAAAGGTGAGTGTTGGCCAACGTTCGTTGGGTCCGTCGATGCAAGGTTTGCCAATCTGACGCGAATCTCTATGCAAACACACACAGTCTACTCAACTGTCAGTTTCATCCTTGAGCGGAACGTACGCAAAGTATCCATTCTGACGGGGCCATTAGAAAACGCAAGTTCGCGCATATCTATGCGACTCTATTGCAGTAAAAATGGCTTTTTACAAAAAAAAAAAAAAATATTTTTCAACACAAAAGTATATAGAGGACTTATATTCGATATGGCTTATATAAAAATTCATCTCGATGATGTTAATGCTGACGTTATATATCGCTTGTCGGTAGAATTAACTATTGAATTTCAAAATTAAAATTGCAACCAGTGATGACAGTTACGTCTCAGATGGGTTTTGACGTCTGAAAGTAGTTTTTATATAAACTGCAGGTAGGTCGTATTGAATATAAGCCCTCGCTATATATTTTTAGCTGTTTTACATCACACATGTTCTGTTTTCCTACGTTACTTTTTGTTTTAATTTACAAAATACGTTTGTAAAAAAAAATTTCCCTAATTTCAACCAATTACCACTCCATTTCCTATAACCTAACTAGCATTTTTTTACAAATTTTAATCTTTATTTTATTCCATTCATTTTTTAACTAGAACAACAACGTCACCGCCAAACAGCATCCAATTACATTCCCGGTGCGCGCCGGCATCGCCGCCAACAGTTTGGATCAACTGCATGGACTAGTGGCTGCTGTAAATGAGACGAATGAAAGTTCCATCACTATTTGGTCTTCGGCGAATGATTTTGTTGATGTACAGAAATTACGTAAGCTAATTTTCTCATTTGGCTTTGATCGCGTCTACTTGGATGTACCCGATGATTTGGCCGACCAGTTGGACTTAGGGCGTGCAGACACAGACAAAGCCTCTGCCAGGCTACCTTCTTTGCTCAGTTTTAGCATGGTCAGCGCCTGTTTGGTTTTGGCCAGCATGTGGATTAATCGTGTTAGACTATAATTTTGTTTCAATATTAAAATAATTTATAATACATACATACATACTAACCTGTTGACAACTTTCGTGAAGGGAGCAAATGCATACGTATGGCAATGAGAAATGTGAAAGTAAACTTAGATTTTGATATTAACGAATTGTAGCGAATTTAGTAAAAATCTGTTTCAATCATTAAATGTGTATTAATTATTCATAATTGAAAGTCTTATTTTAAAATCGAAACTTTGAAGCGTATCACTCAAAGTACCCTCGTTGGTTCATCAATCAGGTGGAATCAGGAGGACATTCTATAAGCGGAGTCAATAATTCTAGATTTCTACATACCTTGAAACGTATGGAAAGGTGACAGCCGCTAAAAGCATAGACAGACTGCCGCGTTGATTCGGTTCAGTTCATTAATTCGAAATTATCTTTATCTGACCCGCTCCAATATGAACAAACGTTGGTTGGTTGGTGTTAAGAGGTAAGTTGCCTGTGACGATGGTAGGTAGATCCGTATAGCGGTTCGGGCTGCGAACGATAATATAGTTGAAGTCTATACAGGAGCTCGTCTGGGGAAAGCTTTTTGAACTCCGAGATCTATCATAACGTCCATGGAGACAGCTGGGATATCTATCGAAATATCGGAACCAGTAGGAACCAAGCATACATTGGTCGTTTGTGCAGTTAAATAACTATTTTAAATAGTTAAAGAATTAATTGAAATAAAAAAAAATATATATATTTTTTATTTTTAAAAACTTCTCTAAAAATTAGATTAAAAAAGAAAAAATAAAATAAAATAAACAGTTTCTAAAAATTAAATGGAATTAAAAAATGTATAAAAATTTATAGTTCTTTTTAGAAAAATACAAGCTAAATATTAAATTAAAAGTAAATTCCGCTGCCAGAGCACTCGAATCTCTCGAATGGCACGATAGTGCTTTGCTCACTTTGGTCATTGCGACTGTTTGAGCAGCTTCGTGCAAATTGGTATACAAGTGTTTTCTATAATAAAATTATAGTTTAAAATACTGAAACCTCGCTATTATAATTTCCATTCGTACTATCATCTGATATGGGTGTTTCCAGCGGAAGGTCCACCACGACAAAAAAAAATAAAAGTTTTATATCTAACGTATTTACGGGCCGATTTGTCTGCTTTTTAAAATATATACTGGCTATGTAAGTAGAATCATGTTTGCATAAAATGGTCTTCATAGGTGGTGCCAAGGTCGAGATATTTCGAAAAACCGTATTTATGGTCCGATTTGGTTCGAATTTGGCGTATGTGGTTGAAACATAATAAATCATAGATTTCCAATAAATTGACCCTGAATTGGCGCTGAAGTCAANTGCGTTAAAAATTCATTTAAAAGCAATATTAACAAAAATATAACGATGGAAATTTATGTCACGTGGCGTCAGTCACGTCACGTTTCAAACTTGGGGTTGTAAAAGAGAATTGAAACAATT